GTGGATCGTTGGTTGGGCATGGACGAAGCAGAGTGGCAGGCGCGCTGAAGACGCTTGTGCTCGGCTTCCTCTGCTCGCGTCTCGTTGGTGTTACTCGCGCGCCGTCTGCATTGTCGAAGGCGATCTTACGCTTGGACGCATGTACGGTTGGACGGACGGACGCTTCGGCCCACTCATGATTATTCACTCCGTGGACATGCTGTGATTTTTAACACATACATCGGTAACGTTCAAGTGAAACGTGGAAACTAATTAATACCATACTTGGTCGTGTAAATAAAAACGCTTTGCCTGAGTGTATAACCTTTGGGGGTAAAGATTTATGTGGCGCAGAACTCCCAACTTATTTTAATAACGGCTTCATCACTGCAGTTGCGTTCTGTAATAATCACGCGGATTTGGTCGCTGTATGCAGTAATGTGAGGGAAGGTATCTTTCTCGACGCAATAAACGAAAGCGAAGCATGCGAAGTCTCCAATTGATTTGTGGGGTTTAACGTCCCCAAACCACCATATGATTATGAAAGACGCCGTAGTGGAGGGCTCCGGAAATTTAGACCACCTGGGGTTGTTTAACGTGCACCCAAATCTGAGCACATGGGCCTAAGAAATTTCCGCCTTCATCAGAAAGGCAGCCGCCGCAGCCGGGATTCGATCCCGCGACCCTCAGGTGAGCAGCCGAGTACCTTAGCCACTCATGCGAAGTCTTCAAGCATCTAAATAATACTCAATCGCTTGATGCCGAGCACTTGCAGATCACACCAATAAAACACGTTTTAATATATATATATATATATATATATATATATATATATATATATATATATATATATATATAGAGAGAGAGAGAGAGAGAGAGAAAGTTGGTTGAAAAAGAACTTGCCGTGAGCAGGAATTGAACCTGCGACCTATTGACTGTTTAGATCTCATTATATTGTGTCAAAACACGGAAAAACGAGCCCTCTTAGGTATAGACTTCTTTCCCTTATATATATATATATATATATATATATATATATATATATACATATATATATATATATATATATATATATATATATATATATTATATATATATATATATATATATATATATATATATATATATATATATATATATATATAAGGGAAGGAAGTGTATACCTAAGGGCTCGTTCTTCCGTGTTTTGACACAATATTAATGATATCTAACAGACAGTAATGCCAAGGATGGTATAGGGGAAGTTATTAGAACCAATGGAATGTAAATAAAAAGAAAAAAGTGGGTGAATAAATAACCAGCCGTGAGCAGGAACCGAACCTACGACCTTCGAATAACGCGTTCGATGCTCTAACCACTGAGCGACCATAGCGGCCTTCCCTCCATCCAATTTTTTGGGTTTATATGTGAATTTAGAAGTAGGAGTGTCAGTCAGTGCCATCTATAAGCCAAACGACGAGTGAAACACTCTTTTATGCGCATGTTTGGCGTCACGTAGCACGTGAACTTCTTACGAGCGGGCAGCTGATTAATAGTCCCTCGTATACAACCTAGTGACACCAAGTCTGCCAGTACGAGACCCTAGTTTAATGAAATGAGGAAAAGAACTGTATACCTAAGGGCTCGTTTTTCCCTCGACTGGCATTGACGCGTAAGTTTTGTTTGCAAAAAGCTTTTTTTTCGGTAACTGGCGTGATGTCTCATGGCCGTAGGATTTTGGCGCTCCATGTGAAACTTGAGATATATTGTGAGCGATTTAGTTCACATCTAATGTATTGCAGGCTGGTATGGGCCACTACAAGCAAAGCAAACATGAATCGAGTTGCTACCCTGCAAACACGGATAGTCTGCCGGATTGGAAATATTGAACCGTTCGAAACGACGCGTGGAGCTCTCGAAGAATTCAGTAAGGTACGAGCTAACAGCCTTTAAACATTTCACCTGTTGCCCACACTTTATTGTTCGTATGGGGAGCTCTCCAACTTTATCAGATAACTGTCATGCCTTCAACATCGTCTCAGTACAAATCTCACAAGAAACACAGATATTTGGTTCGTACCACGTTTCCGCTATACATCTAGATGCCCATCCTTGGCCTACAACGTTCCCACAACACTTGACACGCACGAAAGCACAATCACCTACAACAACATCACTCACATTTCTGCTCTCTGGCTTCATCGTAACATGCGCAGAAACTATTCCCATGGTTCATGTAAAATTTTTGTTCCATAGTTTAGTTTACTGTAAAGAACTTTTATCATGTTACATCTTGTTATCTTGCGTTGTATTACCAATATGAGGGTATGTGTGTTCAGGTAAATGTATACATGTCTTTTTTTATGCTTATAAAATTTAATGTATTCGATGGTCTATGCATGGTGTATATTGCTTTGCTTTTTGGAAAACCATTTCTTATAATAGGTGTAGCATAATCAGTTGGGAAAATATTATTGACTCAGTATGCATTGTTCATGTTTTATGTCGTGTTTGTGTATTATGTATATTTGTTATTGTTCCCGCGCTACTGCCATGGACATGTACGGGTCAACAGCGCCTTTGTCAAGCCATTCTCACGGCTTCTAGCCTTGGAAACTCTACAGTTTCGCCTGGTAAACAAAAAAAAATGAATTTGGATATGAAAGTGAGCGCGCGTGCTGGAAGGAACTCGCTTTCGTAGCAGACGACATTCGTTGCAGCGAGCGTCTCTCCCCTGGCAGTGCAGAAGTGCCGTTCTGTGCCTGTCGTTGTTCTCGACGGCGCTTCTACCAAAGCAGACAAGTTGTTTAAACGCATAATTTTGTTTTTTAGCATTCTTTTCGATTCGTGGCGGCACCAACAAGGGGACACTACAGACACTCCCCACAAGTTGCTGCTTTTCTTTTCTTTTTGTACTACTCTGACTCAGCGCCTTCGCAGCTTGCTTTTTCTTCCTTTGAATGACCACGTGACAACGAATGCCGCCACCTCTTCGCTAGAATGCACACAAAAATGGACGAACTTCCCTTTTTGCGTGCAAGGAGTGACCCACAGTATTGGCGACTGGTCAGATTACATCGGCTTGCCTATCCGGACGGTGCACCACTGCATTGCGGCGAGCGAGCACAAAAGCCACCGACAGCACTGTGAACCACAAAGGCAGACTTCTTATTTTGCTTTTACCTGAACACCTCTGTGAGCATGCAACAAGACTTGCGTGGATAAGAGATGGACACAAATAAACGTGACAAATAAATGAGGCTTAGGCGCGTCAAAATCGAGCACAGAAGTAGACGGCTGGTGAAGCTACGTGCACTCAGACAGGTGAACTTGGAGAAAAGAAGTTTGCGTAACAGCCGTAGAGCCTGCCGGTAAGCGCACACTCGGTCGGTCTGGCGGAGTTCCCTGACAGCCCGCACGCAAGCCCGCGATTGGGACGGGTGCTTTTCCCAACCATCGTGGCACATCGCAGAAACGAGCGCTTCGCAAAAGTGGCGCATGTGAAATGAACCCACGTCCTGCTGCCACTCATCGCTGCGACCGCCATCGCTCACGTGCGAAACACGCAGCGCAGTCGCATCGGCGCACGTTTCAGCGGGCGAAGGAGCGTCGTCTCCTGGCGCCCTCTCCATCGCAGATAAACGAGCCCAAAGAGTGTTACCACTGTATGGGAGCTCGAGCGTTGCGAGTGGTGGAGAGGGGAAGCGAAAGAGGGGTGACACGTAAAGACACGTTTTAACGCGTACGTTAGGCGCGCGTCAGGTTTATTGCGCGTGACCCGACGAGGAGGTGGTGTAACGAGCGGTGGTCACAGTAGCAGAGCGAGTGTGCGGCAGGCGATGGAGAGAGTGACGTCAGCGCGCACTGCGTGGGGAGCGTGACATCACTCGTGTGGAGGGACAACGTTACACAGGCTAGTCAAAGAACTGCTGCTTTGCACCTAACATAACTAATTGTGACAAATTGAAACACGTACATGACACCACCCGTCAAGACAGAAAAAAAACCATATATAAGCAAAAACGAACGTCACCGTCCACTACTTGGTAGTGGACGGTGACCCGGTAGCGTTAAATCCAGGCAGTCAAATTCTTTTCACTGAAGCTACAGACGCATCCTTATCTTTGCTCTTGCACTACTTTTCTACTGCATTTCTCACGAACAAGTAGCCTTTCCCGCCTTCAGCTGGCAGCCACGTTTTCTAGAAGGATCAGGCAAACTGCCCCAAGAAGTTAACGAAATTACCTTAACGCACAATCCAGTTCGTCATATTTATCCCCCCCCAACTCAATAGACAACACATAATTTACAATGAACATATTGATTGTTCTTTCTCCTTATCTGGATCAAAAAAGCAGGTTTTGCGCAAACCTGGTTATTTTATGCCAGCGGGAGCAAACTAAGTGCATTTTATTGTATTGTATTGGGAGCAGACACGCAGATAAGACAACACCCCTTCCACAGCTACTTCTTCCCCACTCCATATATATATATATATATATATATATATATATATATATATATATATATATATATATATATATATATACATACATGTGGAGTGGGGAAGATGTTAAACCAGACTAAACCAGACTATTATTACACACACACACACACACACATATATATATATATATATATATATATATATATATATTTATATATATATATATATATATATGTGTGTGTGTGTGTGTGTGTGTGTGTGTGTAATAATAGTCTGGTTTAACATCCAAAAGATACGATATGACTGTGAGAGACACCGTGGTTGACGGCTGCGAAAATTTCGACCACTCAACGTGCACTCAAGTACTTAGCCCCCAAGTGACTCCAACGAAAATGCGGTTTTTGCGGCCGGGATTCGATCCCGCGACCTTCGGATCGGCCGTCGAGCACCGCAACCACCGCGGCGGGCATCTAACAGCTGTGCACGGTACAACGATATGCAGAACATGACACGAAAGGCATTTCTCGTATGTCAATAAAATCTGCGCACGGATTCGGGCGTGCCCGTTCTGTTGCAAGGCGTAGACGTCTCTTACCATCTGCATGTAGACCAAGCTAGCGTGCAGTTCGAGGTTGAGCTGCTCTTGGAGCCCCGCGCGACATCGGTCGGGAAGGATGTACTTGTTCACCTGGTCGTTGAGATTGTTCCCTGCAAGGCAAGCGTGAATCAACGAGTTGCCGCCGCCCAACCAAAGCTTACCTGCCAACGCAACGCTGGCGGCCAGCACGACAAGTACGATTCGAAGCATGGTGGGCGCTCCTCGGACGTCGAGTGGTCGACGAGCTCCTTTGAGTGGCCGATAAGGGGGGCCACCGCCAAGGTGACACGGTGGCGCCACAAGCCCTCGACAACAGGCACCCTTTCTCTACCCATGCACAAAACAGCTTTTGTCGCTCGCTTTCGAACCCGCTACGTATGACACGTCAATTTTCGTTGCCGCATTTTGCCACTTTCACACATGTCACTGACGAACGCGAATACATTTTTTCGATAGGCGAGCCGAGAACGACATAAGATATTTTGTCAGGACCATGTGCAGCCTTCTGCTCCAAAAGAGTGTACTGTTGAGTTTATGTGGCGGGACATTATGTGATGTGGCTAAATACGCCGTCATCAGCAGCTTTTGCCATTTGACGGATTTTTTCGAAGGCGAAAAAATGCTTCGCATTTCACTTTTGGCGTCTGCGTATGTTTGTATCGTGCTTAACCCCTTAACTTGGCGTGAACCAAAATTAGTAAGGGAGGGTAAGAAGTTTGACCAATATGAGTTACTAGTCATGACATAAATATTGTCACAATCCTGGCGCGTACGTCATCAAACACTTTTTGCCAGACAGTGGCACACACCCACGGTCGAGCGTGCGCCACTCCATGGTATGCGGGTATATGCCTCAGGTGATTGACAGTATCTATTCAGGAAGGTTGACAACACACGGCTGATTTAATCGTGTGAGCGTTAAGAAAAATCTGACATTGGCAGCGCTGACCCGACGAATGCAAAGAATTAATGTCAGGGTCCCAGCAGGAATCGAACCCAAGCATTATGCGCGGCAATCAAGCGTTCCAGCACAAAGCTACGCCAAGTCTCGATAACACTTTTCAAATAGACCCTAATGTTCGTGAAACATCAATTTTGGTTGCAGTGCTGGGGATATCCAATTTTATAAACATTGCACATGTGCTCCTACAGTACAGCCGTCACGTTGGGCAAACGTAAATTGTAGCTCGGTGCCCTTCGCTGAAAATGATTAACGTAACAGTGTCCAGGACTACCATCCGAGAGAGCACCAACGCTTCATATGAGCTAGCTTATCACTTCTCGTGTTGCTAATACTCCTGTTCTTGTTGACATCATTGCGCAAGTGCAAACAACGGGTTATATAAAGATCTGGAACATCTCTGTGCGTGCAAAATTTGTACATATTGTGAAGACGCGGGATCAATGAGCACACGAAGAACCACGAACAAAAACGCTTTATCGATCACAGGAAAAGCCTGTAATGTTTTCTTTGTCTCTCTGCTCTGCCAAAGACACTCGCGCTACTTCGTTGTCACCGCCACTGGCACATACGCGTGGCATTATTCCCCCTTTAAAGAAAAACATCGCCCCCATGTGAAACGTACAGGAAGCAAGCAAAAAACAAAACTGCACAGAGAGCCACTGAAAGCAAGGCTTCATGCGAAGCGCGTCGACAATTTCTGGTGAATGTCTGCGGCGCCTCGAACACTGAATGCCGCCCGGAACGACCCTGTAGCTGACGTCACTGATGCGTCGCAGAACCATGTAGTGCCCGAAGTACCTTCGCAACAGCTTTTCAGAGAGCTCGCGCCGACGAATAGGTGTCGAGACCCACACTTTGTCACCCACGTCGTATATAAGAGTTCTATGCCAGCGGTTGTATTGTTTAGCATCGTCGCCTTGTTGCTCAGTGATTCGGAACCTGGCAAGTTGTCTGGCTTCTTCTGCTCGCTGCGTAAACTCTTCGGCGTCCGTATCATAGCCATCATTTTCATCAGGTAGCATCGCGTCTAATGTACTTCATGTCAGTAAACGATACTGAATGGTGTCTTCCGAGTGGTTTCCAAACGAGCCGTATTGTACGTGAATGTGGCGTAGAGCAAAATGTCGTCCCAGTTTCTGTGCTCTGAATCTACGTACATGCTTATCATGTCAGCCAGGGTTTTGTTGAGACGTTCGGTGAGGCCATTGCTCTGGGGATGATACGCTGTTGTCTTCCTGTGAGCTGTACCACTTAGACAGAAAACGTTGCTCAAAAGCTTGGCCATGAACGCAGTAACTCTGTCGGTGACGACTATTGCGGGAGTACCGTCTCTTAAAATGATTGCTTCGATGAAAAATCGCCCCACTTCAATTGCCATTTCCCGTTGCACAGCACCTGTCTCCACGTGTCCCACATGTCAGGTTAGGTAATCTGTGGCGACGATTGTCCACCTTCTTCTATTGGCAGACGTTGGGAAAGGACCTCGAAAATCCGTGCCGATTTGTGCGAATGGTGTCGTCGGCACTCGGACAGGCTGCAGCAGGACGGCTGCCCCGCCGCGGTGGTCTAGTGGCTAAGTTACACGGCTGCTGACCCGCAGGTCGCGGGATCGAATCCCGGCTGCGGCGGCTGCATTTCCGATGGAGGCGGAAATGTTGTAGGCCCGTGTGCTCAGATTTAGGTGCACGTTAAAGAACCCCAGGTGGTCGAAATTCCTGGAGCCCTCCACTACGGCGTCTCTCATAATCATATGGTGGTTTTGGGACGTTAAACCCCACATATCAATCAATCAATCAATCAATCAATCAATCAATCAATGCAGCAGGACGGCTGGCTTGATGGATGGTGGCTTCTGACACTGGCAATCTAGACATGTTGACAACCCCGGCAAGTCTCGCGCAGTAGTAGTTTTGCCAAGGTTATTGTGTAGTCTAAGTGACCAGCAGTAGGTTTGTCACGGCCGGCTTCCTCGAAGCGAAGAAGGAACAACAGGCAAGTATAGCTGCTGCCGGTGGGTGAAACGTTCTCCTTAAGAAGGACGTTACTGGACAAGCAGTATGACGCCAGCCCTCTCGCAAATAACTTCGGCACACTATTCTTTCGTTCTTTTAGGTAATTTATGAGCAGTCAGTGTTGTCCCGCTGCTTTTGAGAAAAGGCGGCAGTGTCGACAATTCCCCAAAACGCTGTGTCGTCGTCGAGGCTGAGAAAGACCGTCGGCATGGGTGTGTCGTTTTCCCGACTTAGGCAACAGTGAAGTTAAATTCTTGGAGCCAAAGACTCCAGCGTGCAGGACCGCCAGATGGGTCTTTCAAGTTGATTAACCAACAGAGCGAGTGGTTGTTGCTCATAACGGTGAATGGGTGGCCGTACAAATATGGACTAAACTTCAGGACTGCCCACACTATTGCAAGACAGTCCTTCTCTGTTGTAGTGTAGTTAGCTTCTGCTCGGGACAGCATCCTGCTGGCGTAGGCGATCACATTTTTGTTGTCGTCCTGTGACTGTACGAGCACTACTCCAAGACCGACATTACTAGCGTCTGTATGTAGGATTGTTGGCGCGTCTTCCTCGAAGTGGGTGAGCACGGGAGGTGTTTGCATGTGCTGAAGAAGCTCGTGAAATGCCTGCTGCTGGTCTGAGCCCCCTGTGAAGGGGGTATCTACCCTAGTGAGTGGCGAAAAATTGGAAATAAAACGCCGTTAATAGGCACATGGTTTCAAAAAAAAAAAACGGTGCACCAATTTTTTGTCTGGTAGCGTGGAGAAATTCACCACCGCAGCAATTTTATTCGGGTCTGGTCGGATCGCTTGGCTGCTCACGACGTGATCATGTAATTGAAATTCGTGGAAACCGAAGTGACACTTTTGAGGTTTTAGTATAAGACCGCAAAGCGTATCACTTCAAAAAATTCTTCAAGCCTTCGTAAGTGTTCCTCAAAAGTCACAGAAAAGACAATCACGTCGTCGAGGCACACCCAACAGGTTTGCCCCTTAAGTCCCGACAGTACCATGTCCATCAAACGCTGGAATGTTGCTTGCGCCGAACACAAACCGAAAGAAAGTACTTGAAATTTATAAAGTCCGTCAGGCGTGACAAAAGTGGTTTTCTCACGATCTCTCTCATCCACTTAAATTTGCCAGTAGCCCCTTTTAAAGTCCATGGACGAAAAGTAGCGTGCGTTCGGTACCCCTCAGGGGCGCCTGCGCAAGTAGGCGTTTGGTGTGTAGCGACACCACGGACCCGAGCTAACGCGGGAGTTTCTACTCTCTCCCACGCCTAGCCGTGCGTGGCTTTGCCGTGTCCGGAGAAAAAGGGATCCTGGGGATTGAGCCGATGCTGGGTGATTGGACCGTTAAGCCCCCCCCCCCCCCCCCCCCCCCCCGGCAGAGGCAACACACCACTTTGGCCCCGGCTTCACGTAGACGGCACCCCTGGGCTGACCCACCCAGGGGAAATCGGCAGTCGCCTTTTCCTATTTCTCTCTCCCTACATCTTCGTCTTTATCTCTCACTATTTATCTGTCCTGTCTTCTACTCTCTTCCGTTTACTTCCAAACTTCCTGGTGGCTAGGGTTAACCCTGTGCAAATAGCCTACCTTGGTCTAGGCGCATTGGGTTATAGTGGCGTTGTACGGCTGGCATCTGCAGGTTTCAGCATCCGCAAACTTGTAGCGTCCACTCGTTGGGCTTCGTGGTGGGTGGCCGCCAACGCTGCTGAACAAAAATAAGACAGGCATGCATAGAGCATTCCACCTACTGTCTGATCGTACCGGCTTAAAGCGGGTACGCACCGGTGATATAAATTTTTTCAACCAGCCAAAAGAAACATATCCTCACTTTCATGTTATCCACTGTGAAAAAACTGAAAAGCAAGCCAGGACCGTCTCTCCTTTCCTAGTTTCTAGATGTCTTACCGAAACTCTTGGCACAGGATACAAGGTAACCAAAATGGCTAGCGGAGACCTTCTCCTCGAAATCCGTGACAAAGAACAATTTGAAAAGCTAGACCGTCTTTCAGATTTCGGTGGCATACAAATAACCATAACACCACATAGATCAATGAACACAACTCGCGGAGTGGTATCTGACATGGACTTACTTCACTTGACTGAGACTGCACTTTTGGAGGGGTGGAAGAGCCAAAATGTCACTAATGTACAGAGAATCATCATCAGAAGAGATAATAAGGAAACACCAACAAAACACTTAATACTCACGTTTGCATACAGTAAACTACCGGAATCTATTCAAACTGGGTACACGAAGACATCTATCAGGCCGTACATACCAAACCCTC